ACTGAGCCACCCAGGCGCCCTTTTAGAGTCAGTTTTTAAAATTTATTTTCTTATGAATTTGTCCTTATGTCTTTAAGATATTTTAGCATAAGAGTTCTCTATTCTGGACCTGTATTTTCCCCCATTTTCATTTCTTATTTGCTATATGTATAGAAATTTATATATATAAATTTCCCCTTGATTATCTTGCTAGAGGTTTGTATATTTTATTTTTCACAGAAATCAGCTATTAGATTTATTCAGTCACTTCTTTTCATTGTCTGATTCATCCTACTTTTGTATTGATTTGTTTTCCTTAGGCTGCTTTATTAAGTTTTATTTTCTTAAGTTGTACACTTAGGTCATTTATTTGTTCTTGTGTATTAATGAAAGTACTTAGTTTTGAGTTTTTGCCTCTATTCCCTATTCATTAGATAAGGCTGTTCAGATTTTTTTTTAAACACTATAAAATCTCTTCCTTTTGACCCCAAATTTGTTTTTAATTATTGACATACAGGCATTAACATAGAGAAGTGTACGAACGAATTATCCCAGAGTGAACACATCTGTGTAACCAACACAAACAGAACCCTATCAGCTTCTAAAAATCCCCTCACGACTCTCCCTTCCTGATCGCTACTCCACCTTTCTGTTCAGAATTGTTAATACTAGTGTGACTTTTAACCTCATAGGTTAATTTTACCTATTTGGAACTCTTTATGAACAGAAACCTAGATTGTGTTCATTTGGGTCTAGCTCATTATTTTTGTGTGTAGTTGTAGTTCATTCATGTTTATGCTATACAGTGTACCACTATACACTGTACTACCAAATAATTATCCATTTTTCTGTTGATGAATGTTTGGGTTGAGCCTGGTATATGATTGATGTGAATATTTCACAGATGATAGAAAAGTCAAAGCATACTCTTTTTGTAGGTGATAAGGTATTAATAGACATTAAGTTGATGAATTATATTCATTATATTCAGATTTTCTATATCATTACTTAATTTTTATATATTATTGACTTGATAAAGACTAGAAAAGGTACTCTTTTTTGGGAGGTGGTCTGTAAAACCTCTCAATATTTCTGTTATATATCTCAGTACTCTTGTCAATTCCTCCTTTCTAACAGTTTTCCTTTGTAAAGTTCAGTTGTTAATGTTATTTGGTTTATTGGATGGTTTTATCTTACTTAGGAATTAAATGTTGGCGTAACGAGAGTTTTTTGTGGGGGGATGGTATTAAATCACTCATGATTTTCCATTCTCAGTTATTAAAAAAAGATAATTCATTAGTGTAGCCTTTGCCATAAATGTAGGAATAGTTACTTAGCAATGTCACCCTGTAACTAGAAGGAGAATCTAACAGCGGCAGTTGTGTCATTACATACTTCACTGATCTTTTGGGATACACTTGCTTTATTAGTGCTTTATTTCAACTTCAGAAATGCCTTTTAGGTAGTTGTAAACTGAGTGGGAAACTGTTATGATTTTCACTTTTTAAAATGAACATATGTAATTTAGACATTGTTATGAATTGTATATTGAAAAATTAAAAAAAAATTTGAGTCATAGCAATTTCCAAAAGATCTAAAGAAATGAAAAAGAAAAACAGAACTTCTTTTTTTTTTAAAAGATTTTATTTATTTATTTGAGACAGAGATAATGAGAGAGAGAGCACATGAAGGGGGGGAGGGTCAGAGGGAGAAGCAGACTCTCTGCTGAGCAGGGAGCCCAATGCGGGACTCGATCCAGGGACTCCAGGATCATGACCTGAGCTGAAGGCAGTCGCTTAACCAACTGAGCCACCCAGGCGCCCAAAACAGAACTTCTTAATTGGATATAATTTAACATATTTTCTGTGACCTCTTTCATTCTACTTAGCGCAGAGGTTTTTTTGTTCTTAAAATCAAAATATTTACATAGAGGAAATATCAAATATCTTGTGTTTGGTGTGATCAGTTTTGATAAATGCAAATTCTCTGTTACCCATTTTACAAACTGTAGGACATTTTCCTCACCCCAGGATGTTTTTGTACTTGTACCTTTTCCCAGTCCTCATTGCCTCCACCACCCAGCTCTGCAAGCAGCTGCTGATTTCTTAATAGTTTTGTGCATTCTGGAGGTTAAATGTACAGAATGTAATTTATTTTTGGTTTGGCTTAGTTCATTCAGCATGGTCTTTGAAGTTTACCCATGTTATTGATGGTGTGGATAGTCTGGTTGCTCCACATTCTTGCCAGTCTTGGTTGATTTCAGTTCTTTCATCTTGGTCCCTCCAGTGGGTTTATTAAAGTGAATAGGCATTCATTCCTCTACCTCTCAATGTTTGATATTATCTGAGTGATAATTTCTGATCCTATGTCATAAGACATTGTATGAGTGAATACTATTGTTTATTTCCTTTGGATGGCCAGTCCTTTGTGCTGTTGTAAATTAAATGAGAATTATAAATTGAAAGTGAATTTAGAAGTCATTTAATAGAAACACTGCAGTATATAGGTAGCAGACGGACTTGAAAATTAAGTGCCTTATTTAATGTTACATAGCAAGTTAATGCTGAATGTAGGTGTGTTGACTTTGATTCAGTGTTTTTGACCTAAGGCTTTTTTTTATTTCTGAAAGTGTATTTTCTTTGTAATAATGGACATTAAGAGTGTACTTTTTTGTTTCACAGTGTTTTCAGGAACTTTTTTTTTTTTTAAATAAGGAGAAAGAATTTAAAATAGGCTTCATTTATCTAAATTCCCTTTTTTTCTTAGTCATGCTTAAGGGAATGAGACCAGAAGAGAAGAAAATAGAAAGATGGGAACAACTCTGATAAAGTTGCAGTTGAAGATGTCATCATAAGCTCTTTTAATTAGTTTCTTCCCTTTTGAGTTTCAGAATGAATTAAATCCTATTTAATTCTGCCTTAATGTTCCCAGGTATGCAGGTGCCTTGAGAGCTTCAGGGGAAATGGCTTCAGCACAGTATATTACTGCAGGTCAGTATCTTAAATATACTCCTTTTTTGACAGGGCAGTGTAGTATTCAATAAATGTTATTTTTCACTCACAGTTTGTTTAGTAGCTTTCTGTTTACAAAATGTGTTTTGTAAAACATCTCATTAAAATTGGAGTATTTATACTTAAGCAACTTAAGGACTTAGTTTATTGTTCAAATTATAAACCAGTGATATCTGTCTTTTCTGAAAAACAGTCTGGATATTTTTGGATTAAAGTTAATTTTGGCTTTAGGTTCTATTAGTAAAATATATCTCTGGGGACATCCAGAGATAGGTTTTATTGTAGTTGATGCAATCATTATAAGAGAGAGTCTTAGTGTAAGGATATCATGAATGAGGTATTAGGAGAAACTGAAATTCTTAAAAGCTAGAAATAACTTATTTCTTCATTACATGGGACCATGTATTCTGTCCCCATTTGTTTTGGGCTAGTTTTACAAATGAATACTCTTAAGGGTTAGGTCGATAGGGTATTTTTATAGCCATGCCTTCTTGGGGGCAGGGGTTAACAATTTTATTGAGATATAATTCATAGCCCATATAATTTACCCACTTAAAGTGTACAATTCATTGTCTTTTATTTAGTATATATGCAGAGCTATGCAGCCATCACCACAGTCAATTTTAGAAAGTTTTCATCAACTTGAAAAAGAAACTGGAACATTTAGCACTCATCCTATTTTCTTCTCACCACTCCCAGCCCTATGCAACCACTAATCTACTGTTAGTCTCCATATATTTGCCTATTCTAGACTTTTGACATAAATGGAATTCTACAGTATGTGGTCTTTTTTGACTGGCTTCTTTCACTTAGAATGTTTTCACGGTTCATTCACATTGTAGTATGTATTAGTACTTTATTCCTTTTTATTGCTGAATGAGATTCTGTTGTGGATATATCACATTCCATTTGTCCTTTCATCCCTGATAGACATTTGGGTGGTTTCCACTTTCTGACTATTACACATATTGCTGAAAACTTGTGCAAGCATTTCTGTGGACATAATGTTTTTATTTCTCTTGGGTATGTATCTGGGAGTGGAATTGCTGGGTCATATGGTAACTATATTTAACCTTTTGAGGAACTGCCAGACTGTTTTCCAAAGCAGTTGGCATCATTTTATATTTCTCCCATGAATGAGGGTTCCAATTTCTCTTGATAATACTTGGTATTGTCTGTCTTTGATTATAGCCAGCCTAGGGGTGTGAAGTGGTATCTCATTGTGGTCAGCTGTTAATTTGTAATACTATAAACAGTAGGTTTCTCTGTGTCATTTGGAGTTAGAGATTTTCCTTTGACCTTTGTTTCCTGAAACTAGATTTATTTGTTGAAATGAAGTTTTTAATGAGAAAAATATGATCACTTATATCTAGTTTACTTGATTGCTTGTGTATCTGAGAGTGACTCAGAATTTCAGCAATTCTCCAGTATCCTATGAGTCTTGTAGTGAAGGGATGAAAGATACTGTTCTTCATTTTTAAATTTTATTTTGTGCTAAATTATAAGAACAGTTCCAAGGATTCACCAGTTATTAACTTTTTGTCACATCTGGTTCATCATTCTCTATAACCATGTTCTTTATTTTCTGAACCATTTGAGAGTAAGGTACAGACATGCTGTCTTATTCCTAAATACTTCAGTATGTATTTCCCAAGTATAAGTACATTGATAACCACAAGAAAATTACCATTTTTCAAAATCTAGGAGTTTAACATGGATAAAGTACTCTAAAATACAAACTACTTAAATTTTGGCAGTTGACCCAATATTGCCCATTATAAAGTTGTTTTTCTTTTTTGCTTTGGGAGCCAGTTTAGGATCACATATTGATTGCAGGTTGTCATGTCCTACTAGTCTCTCTTAATATACAGTGAGTGCATTTTTGACTTTATTTCAAACTAATGAAATACTTTGAGATGCTCTGTTTATGGGATATGTTAAATCTTAAATCATTTATTTTGAGTAATGTGTACCTTAAAGTGTTATTACAATTTAGCCTTTTTTATTTTAAGAAACATTAGATTGGTAGAGATAATGTGATTTTTAGCTGTCCCTCTCCCCCAAATGTTTTTTTAAAGATTTTTTTATCTGTCAGAGAGAGAGCATACATGCACACAAGCAGCGGGAGCTGCAGAGGGAGAAGGAGAAGCAGGCTCTCCATTGAGCAGGGAGGCCGATGTGGGGCTCGATCCCAGGACTCTGGGATCATTACCTGAGCCGAAGGCAGACGCTTAATGACTGAGCCATCCAGGTGCCCCCCAAAAATATTTTTAAACACCATGTTTAGTTGATTTATTTGGGAACATTTTATTAAACACTGGCTTTGTGTTGAGATATAATATTTGCTGGGCTTCAGTTTGTATAATAATGGTAGATAACATTTCACATATTAGCTAACAAAATAAGTCAGGCTAGGCTAGACTAGAATTTTGCCATACTTGAGGTAAGGGCAAGGTGTGATAGCTAGGAAGCCAGCAGAGGAAAAGTATTCTGAACGCCCAGAGCGGGGCTGAGTCTATGAGCATGAGATTTATGAAGGTGAGAGAGGACAGTGAAGGAAAGATTTGAAGAAGGTTTTTAGCTCTCACTAGAGTCAGGAAGTATGTTTAACAGATTTTAAAATTTCGGAGTTGAGTAGTTGGGAACCAAGTACAGGCTTAAAGGGAGGTGGGTTGAGAGTGGTAACCTGATGGCCCGATAATGGCATAGTAACAGAGCAGTAACATTAGCCTGTTTGATCCCTAGACAGAGGTTATGTGTTCTCTCTGGTGAATGAATATGCCCTGCTTTGTTTGGGAGACAAAGGCTGGCAAGGAGAGAGACTGAGGGGCAGGACTCAGAGGTTGTTCATAGTTAGTGATTACGTTATAAAGTCTGGTCAGTTCTTCAAGATTTAAAAACAAATCTTTTTCTTATTGGGAATTTGACAACTACAAAAGGAGTAGATATGCTTAAAAATATTCCTCAGCAGTTTTGTTTGTATTAATCTAGAATTAATTTACAGTAACATGTATTAAATATGTCACTCTTTTATTAAAGCAGTGTTTGCTTTGTTTTTAAGCCCTTAGAGATTTGTTTGATTCCATGGATAAAACTTCTTCTAGTATTCCACCTATTATTCTACTGCAGTTTTTGCACATGGCTTTTCCACAGTTTGCAGAGAAGGGTGAACAAGGACAATATCTTCAGCAGGTAAACAGGGCAAGGTTCTGTGGTTTTCATTTTGTAAATGTAAAACTTAGGTGCTGTACACTTACCATGTTTATTTGTGTTTCCAAACATACTCCCAATTATCAGTCCTTTCTAGTTCACAACATCATTGTTTCTGGCCTAGAGTGGTCTATTAACTATTACCTTGCTTCTGTTTTTGTCCTTCTGCAGTGTTTCTCCACACAGCCTCCAGAGTCCTTTATAAAATGTAAACAGGATTATGTTGGTCCCTTGTTCGTTGCCTCCTAGTGATTTTCTATCCCTGTCCTGAATAATCTAGCCCCTGGCTCCCTATCTGAGCTCCTCATGTGCCACTCTCCCCCTTGCTTACTTCTTTGGCTCTCAGACACACTGGCTTCCTGGTTATTTTTTAAACCCTCCAGTATCCTCTTTCGCAGGGTCTTTGCTCTTATTTCTTTGGCTCTCAGATAAGTGCATGGCTTGCTTCCTCACCTCTTTCCGGTCTCATAGCTCAAATGTCAAGGCATCACAGAAGTTTTCTTGACTATCCTATTGAAATAGCACACTTCTTTCCCCTCATCACTTTCTGCTCCTGTATTGCTTTTTTTATTCATAACTCTTCTCTTTAGATGAATTTGTTATATTTTGTTTATGTCCCCATTGAGAACTTTTTCTGTTTTGGTTACTGCTATGTGTCTAAAAAAGAGGATAGCAGGAAGGGAAGAATGAAGGGGGGGGAATTGGAGGGGGAGACGAACCATGAGAGACTATGGTCTCTGAGAAGCAAACTGAGGGTTCTAGAGGGGAGGGGGTGGGGGGATGGGTTAGCCTGGTGATGGGTGTTAAAGAGGGCACGTTCTGCGTGGAGCACTGGGTGTTATACGCAAACAGTGAATCATGGAACACTACATCAAAAACTAATGATGTAATGTATGGTGATTAACATAACATAAAAAAATAAAAATAAAACAGTGGTTAGCATAAGGAGGAGCTCAGTAAACATCTCTTGAATGAATGAATATTCTGGAATCCTCATTGTTTTGAAGATCCTATAATATCTAATTTGACTTAATATTTTTAAATTAAAAAAAAAAAACAGCTTTCTTCCCCTTCCCTAAGGAAACCGCAATTCTTTTGGAAGGATTTTGTAGATAAAACAGTATCAACAGTCAGGATTATTTACTTTTGTCATTTTTAAATTACAGGATGCTAATGAATGTTGGATACAAATGATGCGTGTTACTTTGTCATTTTTAAATTACAGGATGCTAATGAATGTTGGATACAAATGATGCGTGTACTGCAACAGAAATTGGAAGCCATAGAGGATGATTCTGTTAAAGAGGTAATTGACATGTTTGTGATTATAGATTTTCATTATACCTTGATAAGTATACCCCCCCGGCCCCAAAAGCTTGAAATAAATTCATCCTAATAGACATGTACTTGAATACTTTAGATGCTCAATCCGTAGTTGGAATTTGAAAGCTTGCATATGACACTTGAATTCATTTATTTATTAAACTTAATTGATATTATTGAGCATCTGTGGTCTTTTGGTAATGTTTTTTGAACAGTAGAAGGATTTTACAGAAAGGGATTACATTTTAAAAAGCTTAAATATGTATTTACTAAACTGGATTGTGTGAAGAAAAATATACATTAGTACCTATATGAAGTAAAATTGGAATTTTTATTTCATTTTAATTTTTGCAGACAGACTCTTCATCTGCATCAGCAGTGACACCTTCTAAAAAGAAAAGTTTAATTGATCAGTTCTTCGGAGTTGAGTTTGAAACTACGTATCCTTATGAGCCAAGATTTGTAGAGACTACTCATAACTTACTAGAAGTGAATTGGTATCAGTAACATTGTTGACTGATTGGAGTGGTTGGTGGGGTATGTAGAAAAAATCTTCAGAGGCTTTTATGCCTAAAAGATAAAATGAAACTTAGGAATTTGGAAAAATACCCCATCAGAGTAATCCTAAAGTTTAGGTAAATGTACACTTTAAGGGTATTATTTTTTCCTAAGAATATCTTTAGCAGAGTCAGCCTCATTAATTCACTTCATAGGGAATTAATTTTTAATTGTATGAAACAGTATATCAGCTAGATTATATACATGAGATCGAACCAATTCATAAAACGTGAAGTCAGAGGAGGACTATTTTCTAGGTCATGGGTAGAAACTGAAAGATTTCTGTTTATATATCTTTGTGTTAAAACCATTTTAAGACTGTGTAAGTACCAGCTTACATTTTTTTAGAGTTTATCCTTTTTTATTCATTACTCATATTGTTGGTAAGTGCATGAAGCGCTTTAAAGTATGTTGAAACAAATGTGGGAAACCAGAATATTTAAAATACCAGTGAACGATGCTAATTAATTCTTTTAATTCCAGTATGGTTAATATACAGTGTTATATTAGTTTCAGATATACAATATAATGATTCAGCAGTTCCATACATTACTCAGTGCTCATCACAATCAGTGTACTCTTAATTCCCAATACCTATTTCACCCATCCCCCACCTACCTCCTTCATTCTTGTTGAGAATGGAATCATATGGTATTAATCTTTCTCTGACTTATTTCACTTAGCATTATACACCTTGGATCCATCCATGTTGTTGTAAATAGCAAGATTTCATTCTTTTTATGACTGAATAATATTCCATTGTATATACCCCCCCCACATGATCTTTATCCATTCATCTATCGATGGACACTTGGGTTGCTTCCATAATTTGGCTATTGTAAATAATGCTGTAATTAAACATAGGGGTGCATGTGTCTTTTCATATTTGTTTTTTTTAAAGAGAGAGAGGTTGGGGTGGGGGAGAGAGAGAGAGGGAGAATCTTGAGTAGGCTCCATGTCCAGTGGCGGAGCCTGACATGGGGCTCAATCTCAGAACTCCAAGATCATGACCTGAGCTGAAATCAAGAGTCAGATGTTTAACCAGCCAAGCCACCCAGGGGCCCTAACACTTTGTTTTTTGTGTTTTTGATTTTAGCCATTCTGACAGGTGTGAGGTGACATTGTGGTTTTGATTTGCATTTCCTTGATGATGAATGATGTTGAGCATCTGTTCGAGTGTCGGTCATCTATATGTCTTTGGAGAAGTGTCTGTTCTCTTTATGTCTTCTGCCCATTTTTTTAATTGAATTATTATTTTGGTGTCATATAAGTTCTTTATATATTTTGGATACTAACCCTTTATATAACAGATATCATTTGCAAATATTGATGCTATTAATACCATTAGGATAATTTATTCAACATACAATTTATTATATTAGTGCAGATTGATTACCTGTTGGTATATTCCTTATCTTATTTCTCAAAGCATGAAATGTACAGAATCTGAAGAAGAAGAGGTCACTAAAGGAAAGGAAAATCAACTTCAACTTAGCTGTTTTATCAATCAAGAAGTCAAGTATCTTTTTACAGGACTTAAATTGGTAAGATCAGTTACAGTTGATCCTCATTATAAATAGATTCTCTATTTGCAGGTGCATCTACGCTAAAATTTATTTGTAACTATAACAACAGTACTTGGTGCTTTCATGGTCATTTGTAGACAGGTTCCGCGTGGCAAAAATTTTGAGTTGCCAGACACAGTCTCGCCTGAGGTCCAAAAAAGTGATGCTCTCCCTTCTTGTTTTAGCTCATACTGTTAACAAGTGTCCTTTTACTGTAATTTTAGTACCACAACTTTCTGCAATTTTGTGCTTTTTGTTGATTTGCTGTTTAAAATGGCCTTCAGGCATAGTGCTGAAGTGCTATCTAGTGTTCTAAGCCTGAGAAGGCTGTGTGTGAATGTTTATTAGATAAGCCTTAAGGAGAAAATAATGTTTGTTAGATAAGCTTCATTTAGGGATGGGTTATAGTATAGTTGGCTGTGAAGACAGAGTTATCATTAAATAGAAACACATGACACAAGGTTGTGTATTGATAAGTAGACAGAAGTGTTGTGACCAGAGGCTTGCAGGAGGCCTCTGAGGGTATTATAATGAGAATTTATTAGTAATAATGAGGTATCAACTGGGATTGTACTGTGTAAATCAGGCCATGTAGGCCCTCTGCCTTTGCACCAGTATTGCACCTGAGGCCCTGGAATGTAAGTGACTTCATTGCTTTGTCGCAGAGCTGGGTCTAGAACTTGATTCTCTCATTCGCCAGTTAGTACTCTTTCCCCAGTTTCATACTACAGAATGCACTCTAATGAGCAGATTGATAAAATATAACAGTTTTGCTTGCTAATTTAGTACTTTGATATGGTTTGGGAAATATGTACATGTTTTGGAGGATAGGCAATGAATTGGGGCAGGGAGTGCATTGATAAACAAGATAATTTGTCATCAGGGAGTTCCCATCTACAACTTAGGGTAAGATCAGTTAGGGGAGTGGTTAGTAAATACATAAGAGGCAAAGAGAGAAAGTAATACTCTCCGTCCTGTTATACTGAGGGGGAGTGTAGTGAGGCATACTGGCTTTTGAGAGAAGTTCATTTTAAAAGCTTAAAAATAATGGCTAACCAGTAAGAGTCCTATAACAAATTATGACGTGCAAATTTCAGGACATCAGAACATGAAGCATAAATGTAATTGGAGAGTATTGAATGGAATGTTTTGGCAGGGACTCTTCAGGATGATATTTTTGTCTTCATAATTTTATAAAATTCCAGAAAAACTAAATGTACTTGGAGCTTCTAGGTGATAGTGGATTGGTGATAATATGTATAGTTTACCTGACGAATAACATCACACCAGATACGTGTTCTTGAAAAGCATGTATTTATGAGATGTATTGTCTTGCCCATTGTTTAGATGCTTTATCATCATTTGTTCTGATTATTCTAGAGTAATTTGGCTCCATATTTCTTTACCTTTTTGCTGTCGAACAAACTTGATTAAATGTTAAAAAGCTACACGGATGGTGATTCCTTCTGTAATGAGATTAGTAATTTTTGAAAATTAAAATTTTTTTACACAAGTAACATGCTTATAGTGAACATTAACAGTAGATTTTTAACTCTAATTTCCTGTGTATTAATGTTCTTACAAAGCAGAGCACATTAGTAGTGCTTTTTTTAATATTAGAAATAGTAGCTTATTGAATTCATTGAATGTAGAATATATGCCAAATGGTTGTCCATGTTTTTTTACATGTACTAACTTATGTAGTTCTCACAACAGCACTATGATAGAGATATTATCGTCATTTCTATGTGATGCCCAGAGGGGATAACTGTCTTGCTCGGTGTCACATAGGCTGTAAAAAATGGAAAGGCAGACATGATGGTTAAGATAGGTATAGTGGCTAAAGGCTTTTCCACATTTGTTAGATTAACAGGTTTTCTTTGTGATGAGTTTTCTCAAATTTGAGAATAATTGGCTCTAGAAGGCTTTTATACATAAAGGATAAAGAACAGGGGTTTCCTACATTCTCATAATTGTCCTCCTGTGTGAGTATTCTAATAATCTGTATGTAGGCAGAAGCCATAAAGGCTTTTTTATGTTATATAAAATACAGTGTAAACTCAGAATCTGAGCAACATTTGGGTCACAATTTAAAACTTCAAACATTATTTACATTCTGAGGAGTTGACACCAGTATAAATTGATACCTTTTAAGGACTGAATCGTATCTAAAAGCCTTCCTACATTGTCTTCATTGAAATTATTTTTCAGTGGCATGAATCCATTGACGTATATTGTCTATTAAGGAGTACTGATTTTTTTTTTTTTTTTTAAAGATTTTATTTATTGAGAGAGAGAGAATGAGAGAGACAGAAAGCACATGAGAAGGGGGGAGGGTCAGAGGGAGAAGCAGACTCCCTGCCAAGCAGGGAGCCCGATGCGGGACTCGATCCAGGGACTCCAGGATCGTGACCTGAGCCGAAGGCAGTCGCTTAACCAACTGAGCCACCCAGGCGCCCAGGAGTACTAATTTTTAAAAGAATTAAAAATGTGATTCTAGGGGCACCTGGCTGGCATGCAACTCTTGATCCTCGAGGTCATCAGTTCAAGCCCCACTTTGGCTGTAGAGCTTACTTTAAAAAAAAGTGTGATTCTATATTGCAGAAAAAATACTTTAAAACTAAAAATATTTGGTCTTCTTTTTTTAGCGACTTCAGGAAGAAATCACTAAACAGTCTCCAACATTGCAAAGAAATGCTTTATATATCAAATCTGTAAGTTTTGCATTCCTTTTGAATTTGAATCCATTTTGATGAAAGGTTTCCAGTTAGTTAATTTTACGCAGTCTTTGTTTTTTTACCAAACATTAAAAACTTCTGTGGTATTTGCATGTGATAGGATTTCTTGCATTTTCTTTCCCCTCAGTCTAAGATCAGCCGACTACCTGCTTACTTGACAATTCAGATGGTTCGATTTTTTTATAAAGAGAAGGAATCTGTGAATGCTAAAGTTCTTAAGGTTAGTAATGAACTTCAGTATAATAAAATACTGTAATTCTTTGACGGCAATCCCCAATTCACAATAGGTTTCTTTCTTCCTTTAGGGATAAACTTTCTTTGAAATATTGTAAGTAGGGACATTATTAACATTAGACAAGTGGTTCTTTTTTTTAAGATTTTTATTTGTTTGTCAGAGAGGGACAGCATGCACAAGCAGGGAGAGCAGGAGGCAGAGGGAGAAGCGTGCTCCCTGCTGAGCAAGAGCCCCATGTGGGACTCGATCCTAGGACTCTGGGATCATGACCTGAGCTGAAGGTAGACGCGTAACTGACTGAGCCACCAGGCGCCCCTGTCCTTTTTATTTTAAATCATACACATGCCTGACTTTCACTACCAGCCCACCCCTAGCATTTGATTAAGTAGGGCCTGAAGTCCTAAAAATTTTTCATAAGATTCCCAATTAGTTCTGATGGATGCCCTCCACTCCCCAGAAATCCTGCTCTAGATCAGATCCTCAACTCCACAGATACTGACCCAGCAGGTTTAGAGGATGGGAGTGTGGCATGCTGCACTCTCTCGTGCAGTAGTTGTAATCTCTTGAGTAAGAGCCAGCCTTACGATGTAGCTGTTCTGTAGAACTGTAGCTCTGCTACATATCCACAGTCCGTGATCCCTGGGAGAGGTGTATATAATTCTAGCCTCTTGAGCTGAAATTCATAATACACTTTCAAATATACCTACTGTTATATGATAAGGTTAAATGTAGTTGGAGTATTTACAATGTTAACTTTATGTATTAATATTAGTTTTGAACCGTATCACTATGATTTCTTTGTAAAGGTGTATTTCAAATTACAAAAAGTCATTAAGTGACCCCATTTGTAAATTGATCCATTGTCAGTTTTAGGTATCCATTATTTTCACAGCAACTGTTGTGCTGTGTTTCTGAAATGCTGCTTTTGTCATATAAATTTGGTGACTCTTCTGTGGTCAGAGTCTTGGGTTTAATTGGAAAAAAAAAGCTAAACAAATGTTTTTAATCTTAAAAAGTTAGAACCAGGTGCCTGGTTGGCTCAGTCAGTAGAGCATGTGACTCTTTATCTTTTAAGATTTTATTTATGTATTTTACAGAGAGAGTGAGAGAGACAGCATGAGCAGCGGGGAGGAGGAGGCAGAGGGAGAGGGAGAAGCAGGTTCCCCACTGAGCAGGGAGCCTGATGTGGGACTTGATCCCAGGACTCCTGGGATCATGACCTGAGCTGAAGGCAGATGCTTAAGCAACTGAGCCAACCAGGTGCGCCCCGACTCTTGATCTTAGGGTCATGAATTCAAGCCCCACACTGGGCATGGAGCTATTTAAAAAAAAAAAAAAAGTTGGGACCACATTGAAAATAAGCGCTATGATGTTTTCAGCTGCATAGATTTGCAAGTGATTTTTATGAATTTTATTTTCAACTTCATTTGAATTATGAAAGTACTACTATAAAAGTATGATAGATATTTTAAATAAGTACCTTTATAAGGGTGTTTACACATATTCTTTCTTTTTGGTTTGTATATAGGATGTTAAATTTCCTCTTATGTTGGATGTGTATGAACTGTGTACCCCAGAACTTCAGGAGAAAATGGTCTCTTTTCGAACAAAATTTAAGGATCTAGAAGATAAAAAAGTGAATCAGCAGCCAAAGACAGTAGGTTCTTATTGCTGATTTAATCAGTGTTCAGCGATTACTGTTAATCTCTTAGTAATTACTTTGTTAATCTCTTAGTAAAAATGGATGAACCTTTATTTTATTTAGCACATATACAAAGTTTTAGGTGTATTTTAGCATAAGAAAAAGAACTCTAGTTATGGTAAATAGGCCCTTTATGGTAGAGTAAGCTTAATATTTTCTTTTTTCCTGTGATCTGTAGCCTATATTCCTTTTATATTTATCTCCTCAAAGCATTTCACATAAAGTGTTGTCTAGTATTTTCAGTGTATTTTATTGTTTTCCTTGTAAGTCATGGAGTTATTTCTATTTTTAGGTGGAATTAGTGGTATAGAATATTGGCTCATTTATGCCTATAGTAACAAATAAGTTGTATCTTTTTAATTTTGTATTTAATTTTTATTCAAGTTAGTTAACATAGAGTACAATATTGGTTTCAGGAGTAGAATTCAGTGATTCATCACTTACATACAACACCCAGTGCTCATCATAACAAGTGCCCCCCTCATACCCATCGTCATCTAGCCCATCCCCCACCTGCCTTGCTCCAACAACTCTCCATTTGTTCTGTATGGTTAAGAGTCTTTTATAGTTTATTTCCCTGTCTCTCACTCTTTTTTCCCCCCTCCCCCTATGTTTATCTGTTTTGTTTCTTAAACTCCATATGAGTGAAATCGTATGGTATTTGTCTTTCTCTGACTGACTTACTTCACTTAATGTAATACACTCTAGCTCCATCCATGTCATTGCAAATGGCAAGATTTCGTTCTTTTTGCTGGTTGAGTAATATTCGTGTGTGTGTGTACACACGTCTTTATCCATTCATCAGTTGATGGACATTTGGGCTCTTTCCATAGTTTGGCTATTGTTGATGGTGCTGCTGTCAACATCAGGATGCATGTGTCCCTTCGAATCTTTTTGTATCCTTTGGGTAAATACCTAGTATTGCTGTTGCTGGGTTGTAGGGTAGCTCTATTTTCAACTTTCTGAGGAACCTCCATACTGTTTTCCAGAGTGGCTGCACCAGCATGCATTCCCACCAACAGTGTAGGAGGCTTCCCCTTTCTCCACATCCCGCCAACATCTGTCGTTTCCTGACTTGTTAATTTTAGCCATTCTGACTGGTGTGATAAATTGTATCTTTTAATAAGTGCTGCTTGTATGCCTGCCTGTAACTGCTAAAATCACAACCTTAGGAAACTTTGTATTTAATAACTTGTATTATTTTAGGTTCAGATAGGGTACAGCTGAACTGTGTTGGATTTTTTTTTTCCACAATGAAAAAGATCTTTCCTGATAACTAGAAATATTTCCAGTGTGATATTATATATCAAATTTAAATTCTGCAAATTACTGTGTGTGTGTAGTGCGTGTGTTAAATGGTTTTTTTAAACATTAAAATTTATTTTGAGATAATTGTAGAATCACATGCATTTATAAGAAATAATATGAAGAGGGGCGCCTGGGTGGCTCAGTGCATTAAGTGACTGCCTTCTGCTCAGGTCGTAATCCCAGTGTCCTGGGATTGAGCCCCGCATCGGGCTCCCTGCTCAGCTCCCTGCTTCTCCTCCCTGCTTCACCTCCCTCTGCCTGCCACTCCCCCTGCTTGTGAGTGCACTCTCTCTCTTTCTCTCTGTCAAATAAATAAAATCTTAAAAAAAAAAGAAATAATATGAAGAGATCCAGGTACCTTTTACCAAGTTTCCCCTGTGGTAATAGCTTGCCAAACAATAACACAGTATCACAACTTGGATATTGACTTTGATGCGGTCTAGATACAGTACATTCTCATCACTACAAAAATTCCACATACTGCCCCTTTGTAGACAAACCCACTTTCCTTTGGCCCCTGCCTCCTCTTCAGTTCCTAGCAACTGTTAACCTGTTCTCCATTTCTGTAGTTTTGTCATTTTAAGACATGAAATGGAATATATATATATATATATATAATACTATATTATACATATACTATATATATACTGTTTAAATGGAATCCTATCGTATATAACTTTTTGGGATTTTCTTTTCTCAGCATACATAATTCTCAGGAAATTAGCCCAGGTTATTTTGTATAGCAGTAGTTCCTTCTTTTTTGTAGCTAAATAGTATTCCATTATGCATATACCATATTTTGCTCAACCATTCAGCTATTGAAGGACAGCTGGATTGTTTCTAGTTTCATTTATTTTGAATAAAGTTGCTATAAGTATTCATGTACCATTTTTTTTTTTTTAAAGATTTTTTATTTATCTGAGAGAAAAAGAGAGCATGAGCAGGGGGAGGGGCAGAGAGAGAGGGAGAAGCAAACTCCCTGCTGAGCAGGGAGCCTGATGTGGGACTCGATCCCAGGACCCTGGGATCATGACCTAATAAGCCAAAGGCAGATGCTTAACCGACTGAGTCACCCAGGCGCCCCTCATGTACCAGTTTTAGTGTAAACATAACTTTTCATTTCTCTGGAAATAAATACCCAGTAGTATAATTGCTAGATTGCATGATAGTTGTATATTTAATTTTTAAAGAAACTGTCAAAGGTTTTCCATAGGGACTATACCATTTTAAATGCTCATTAGCAGTATATGACTGATCCACTTTGTGCATTCTTGCTAGAATTTGGTGATGTCAGTATTCTTTATTTTAGCCATTTGTTTTATTTGTTTTTTGTTGTTTTTTTTTTTAAAGATTTTATTTATTTATTCATGAGAGACACACACAGAGAGAGAGAGAGAGGCAGAGGGAGAAGCAGGCTCCCAAGGAGCAGGGAGCCCGATGTGGGACCCGATCCGAGGACTCTGGGATCATGACCTGAGCTGAAGGCTTAACCATCTGAGCCACCCAGGCGCCCTATTTTAGCCATTTGGATAGGTTTGCAGTGATATCTCACTGTGGTTTTTAATTTGCTTTTTCCTAATGGCTAATAATGTTGAGTGTGTCTCCATGTATTTATTTGCCATTTGTATATCCTCTTTGGTGAAATGTTTCTTCTTGTCTATTCATTTTCTAATTGTGCTATTTTTCACTCTTGAATTTTGAGAGTTCTTTATATTATAAATACTAATCCTTTGTCAGATACATGGCTATCATATATTTTCTCCTTGCCTTTGTCTTTATCTTTTCATCTTCTTTAGGGTCTTTTGCAGAGGAAAAGTTTTTAATTTTTAGGTAATCCAGTGTATTTTTCTTTGGTTGTTCTTTTGGTGTCTTATCTAACAAACCATTGCCTAGTCAAAGGCCACAAAGATTTATGTCTGTTTCTCTTACAAGAGTTTTAAAGTTTTAGTTCTTCCCACTTAGTTCTTCCCTGGTTTTTGAGCTGTTCTGGGTTAATTTTTGTGTGTGGGATGAGGTGCATATCCAAATTCATTCTATTGTGTGTGAATATCCTATTCTTTGCCCACTGAATGGTCTTGGTACCCTTGCAGAAAATCAGTTGACTACAGAGATCTGTGTATCTGGACTCTGTTTTATTCCACAGGTCTTTATGTCTGTCCTTATGCCAGTACCACAGTCTTGATTACTGCAGTTTTGTAGTAAGGATGTAGCAAAGTACGAGCCTTTCAGCTGTTCTTCTTTTCAAGATTGTTTTGGTTCTTATGAATGCCTTGTATTTCCATTATTTTAGGATCAGCTTGTGTATTACTTCAAAAAAAACAATTGGAATTTTGATAGGATTGCAGTGAATCTGTAGATAATTTGGAAAGGATTGCTATTTTAACAGCATTAAGTCTCGGCAGTCCATGAACTTGATAATGTCTTGTGTATTTATTTGTATCTTAATTTTTTTAGCAATGTTTTATAGTTCATAGTATATAAATCTTATACTTTGGCTAACTTTATTCTTAAGTATTTTATTCTTTTTTGATATTTGAGTAAATGGCATTGCTTTCTTAATTTCATTTTTAGATTATTCTTTGTAATTGATTTTTGTATATTGATCTTTGCTGAACTGGTTTATTAACTGTTTCTTTTTTTCTTCTTTTATTTTTTGAAAGATTGTGTAGAATTAGTGTTAATTCTTTTTTAAAGGTTTGGTAGAACATTGGTAGAAAAAAATCAGCCTGGAGATTTTTTTCCAGGCATTTTTAAATTAAATATTTGACTTGCTTTGTAGTTATGGGCTATTCAAATGATGTATTTCATATTAGGTTTGTTTTGGTACTTTGTTTTCATGGAATTGATCTGTTTTATCTAGCTTGTCAATTTTGTGTTGTAGAGTTGTTCCTTGTATTTATTTATTTATTTTTGATGTCTGCAGGGTCTGTAATATCTGTCCCCTGTTTCATTCCTGATACTGGTAATTTGTCTTTTTTTTTCTTTTTTCCTTTGTCTTGTTAGAGGATTGTCAGTTTTATGATCTTTTCAAAGAACTGGCTAAATGGATTTTTCTCTTTTTCTGTAATATTAATGATTTCTACTCTTCTGCTTGTTTGGGATTTATTTTGTTCTCCTTTTTCTAGGTTCTTAAATTGTGGGAGCTTAGATTTTTGACTTCAAACTTTTCCCTAATGTATGCATTTAGTGCTATACATTCTCTTTCAGCAGTGCTTTTACTGTGTCCTACAAATGGTTATATTGTATTTTCATTTTCATTCTGTTCCTTGTAATTTTTTTTTTTTAAGGTTTTATTTATTTGAAACGGAAAGAGAGAGAGAGCACAAGAGTGAGAGCTGAGAGCATGAGCAGGGTTTGGGGAGGGGCTGAGGGAGAGGAAGAAACAGACTCCCCGCTTGGATCAGGACTTGAGCTGAAGGCAGATGCTTAACCAACTGAGCCACCCAGACACCTCTCTATTCCTTGTATTTAAAAAAAAAAAATCTCCCATGGGATTTCTCTTTGAATTTGGATTATTTAGAAGTGTCTTGTTTAGTTTCCAAATATTTGGAAATTTATTATCTTGCTGTTACTGCTTCTAGTTTGATTTCATTGTGAGAGAACACACTTGTGTGATTTAAATTCCTTTAAATTTGAAGTTTGCTTTATGGCTTAGGATGTGATGATATATCTTGGTATATGTTCTGTGGGTACTTGGAAAAAAAATTGCATTTTATGGTTGTTGAATGGAATGAATGTTCTGTAGATGTTGATTAGATCCAGTTGGTTGATGGTGGTGTTGCATGTTCCTGTAACCCATGCTGTTTTTCTGTCTAGTTGTTCTATCAGTTTTGGTGAGAGGAGTGAGGAAGCTAAAATTGTGGTTTTATGTGTTTCTCCATTCAGTTCTGTCCACTTTTGCTTTGCATGTTTTGTAGCTCTGTTATTTGGTGCATACACCTTTAGGATTGCTAAGTATTCTTAAGTGGAGTGACCCTTTTATCATATGTGCTGCCGAAGCAAGCACTGGAGTGACCGTTTTATGTTATGCAACGTCCCTCTCTGTCCCTGGTAGTTTTCTTTACTCTGAAGTCTTCTTTTCTGATATTACTATTGCCAATGCTGCTTTGTTTTTGTTAATGTTTGCATGATGTCTTTTTGTAATCTTTTACTTTAAATTTGCCTATATTGTTATATTTGAAGAGTTTCTTATAGACAGCATAGAGTTGGTCGTGTTTTTTAATACACTGTTAATCTCTTATTGCTTTATTTAGACCATTTACATTTAATGTAAGTTGATTTGTTAGTTGTGTTATATTTTGCTTTCTCTTTGTTCTGTTTTTCACTTTTTTATTGCCTTCTAGGTTTTTGAACATATAATAGAATTCTAATTTGACTTACCTACAATTTTTTAAAGATCTTTTTCTTTGTATGCCTTTTTCTATGGTTACTCTAGGTGTCAAATTTTAATACAAAAAGGAATGGTTGACTTAATTGCCATTTTTTTGTTGTGGGAGCCTTTGACTTCTTGTCACTCTAGTGATCTTTAAACTACTTGCATTGTGTTCATTACCATTATAGTTTTCAAGAACTTTGTGCCCATATGTCTAGATAAGTTTAATTTTTTTGTATTACACACTGAAATGGGTTGAGGCAGGGAATTCCCACCAAAGATCTTTGTCTAAAATAGTGAATCATCTCTTTCAATATTAGGTAAATATTTGCTGAATTAAATATTTCAGCTCATTTAAGCTAAGTTCATTCAGTTCATTTGAGCAGGTGGCCATGTCTTAGTAGGTTTAATGTTAGTTGCAGTAATTCGACTTTTGTGTTTCATTGAGGTACCTTTTTTTTTTTTTAATCCTATGTGGTTTGATAGGATTTTGGTAAAAATATAGAATTGGGTTTTCCTTTCCTACCCTAGAGCATTGTTTGTACTGTTATATTCACTGATATGCTATAGGTTTAGTGGCTTATAGTTGGTCCTAGAATCAGAGGGTCTGTTACTGTGCATACAAGATTGTATATTGTTGAAGTATAGCTCCTTTGGGTTTACAGTTTTGTGTTAACTATAGTTATATTGTTTTAGTAATTTGTAAGGTAGTGTTTTGTATTGTAGTCAGTAAATATTTGTGGAAAGAATATTTATTGATTAGAATACAAATTTTATTTCCAGTATCATGATTTAAAATTAAATTTTTTTCCCCTCAGAGTGACAAAAAGAGTAGTCCCCAGAAGGAAGTTAAATATGAGCCTTTTTCTTTTGCTGATGGTAAGTGGAAAAAAATCATTTCAATTAAGTTACTGTATGTGTGTGTTTAAGGTAAAATTATTGTCTTGGCACTTCTCTATTATTTTTCAGATATCATGCTCTTTTAAAAAGAAAATCAGATTTTTTTATTAAAGATTTTTTTAATTTATTCATTAGATAGAGAGGCAGAGGGAGAGGGAGAAGCAGGCTCCCTGCTGAGCCAGGAGCCCGATGTGGGGCTCAATCTCAGTACCCTGGGATCATGACCTGAGCCAAAGGCAGACGCTTAACCATCTGAGCCACCCAGGTGCCCCAGAGAGTCAGATTTTTAAAATAAAATTTACCTTAATTAGACACACAGTAAAAATCAGTCTTTTTAGGATGTAGTTCTATGAATAATATCATACATCTTAAAATATCTTCCATAAATCCTTAACTTTGAACTGTAGTATCTTATTGAATTCTAATAATAGGCTAACCTATTGCTACCTAGCTGGAGAAATCACGTCTCTTCATTGTCTAATATTGTTGGATTTACATCTTTCTTCAGACATTGGCTCCAATAATTGTGGATACTATGACTTACAAGCAGTGTTAACACATCAGGGAAGGTCTAGCTCTTCAGGCCATTATGTATCATGGGTGAAAAGGAAACAAGGTAAGGATTCTGTTTTTTTTTTTTTTTCTTTCCCAATAGTTAGTTAATTTAACAGTTTACTTAGTACAAATTTTTTGCACAGTGGTTTTCAAACTTTTTGGTCTCAGAACTCCTTTACATTCTTAATTGTTGAGGTCCACAAAGCTTTTGTTTGTGAGGATTTACTATAATAGAGATTAAAACTGAGAAATTAACTCATTGGAAACTGACAGTAATAAACCCATTACATATCACATAAATAACAAAGATAACAGTATTTTCCAAAACAAAAAAATAGCAAGAGATAGTATTGATTTGTTTTTGTAGGTCTGCTTTGTCTGGCTTAATAGGAGACACCTGTTCCTGCATTCAGTCTTTTGCTTTATCACACATCCTATGACTTCTGGAAAATTCCAAAGCACACTTGAGAGAATGAGGGAAAAAGGCAAATAATACTTTAGTAGTGATATAAAAAAAATTGTGACCTTCATGGTACCCTTGAAATGGTCTTGAAACCTGAGTAGTCCCTGGACCACACTTTGAAAACTGTTAGTATGGCAGATGGAATACTGCTGTGCATAAAATTACTCAGTACCTTTTTTGAAATGGAACTGAGAAAACATGATGGGATGAACTGAGATATTTCATTTTCTTCTCTCGTTCTTTAGATGAATGGATTAAGTTTGATGATGATAAAGTCAGCATCGTGACACCAGAGGATATCTTACGGCTTTCTGGTGGTGGAGACTGGCACATAGCATATGTTTTACTCTATGGGCCTCGCAGAGTTGAAGTAATGGAAGAGGAAAGTGAACAGTAATCTTCATTTTAGCTATTTATGTTTAGGTGTGAAATAAATGTTACTTGTTGATCATTTCTATAATTCAGAGCTGTAGAGGAAGATATTTAGGTGGTTTTATGTGTTTCCCCTCTCATGTGGAACAAAAGAGGGTGAAGCAGACCACTCTGGATCAAACTAAAAATTACAGAAAAAAAATTGCCTTTGGACTGTGTGGTTGCAGGAAGACATTTTTAAAAAGCTTATTTCTTGCATTAATTTTTAAAAATTCTGATTAGAAATGCCTTTCAGCCATTACCTTCCGTGATAAATTTTTTCTCCCTGCCTTTTTCAGCCCAGGATTCAGCAATTAGATGTTTATTGCACACCTATTATTCTTTTTGTTGTTGTTGTTCTTGCATGGTTCAAACCACCGGTGATTCATAGCTGCCCATCCTTTGCCTTATCTAACAAAAATTTTGCCAGGAAGGTGGAAAGGAAGGAAGTGTTGCTCTCATTGTGTTACTCAGTGCTGCTGCCCACATCCCATGGAAACATGGGTACAATCAAGTATTTGTCCAGCCTGACTGTTGCTGGCTTTTCATGACTTTAAAATAAATTGTGATCAGTAATAGTACATTTGATTATACATTCATTATTGTGTCTCTCTGATGTACTATGGTTTGTATATTTAACTTTGCAATGGTTTTGTAGTAATCAACCTTAAAAAGTTGACAAGCTCTCGTTGCTTATTTTTAGAAAATGAGGATATTTAATAAAAAAAAAAAAAAAGAGGGACTAACAGCTTCTGACCTCAAGTCTTTTGTCTGCTGAGTGTTGGAGCTTGGGTTAAGTTTAGGTATATTTACTATCATGCAGTTGCTGCAGGTTGTTAGTTTTACTCTGCTGTTAAGCATCCATTTAAAAATGTTATCTCTTCTGCTTCACATTATGTTCTGTTTAAAAGAAATATAAAGTTGTAAAAGTAATGGAGTTCTTTGGATGCTGAATGCAATGATGTTTATTGGTCTATCTTTTCTTTGGCTCAGTTTTTTACTCGTCTGTTCCCAAAATCTTAATGTGTATCTCAGAATTGAATAATAGCAATGATTTTTAAAGTGATGGTAAAAGTACCAAGAGTAAGTGGTGTTTCAGTATGGTAGGTTTCTTATATTTTTTAATACATTCTAATTCCTCATCTTTGTTTCAAGAGCCTTGATTGCTAGACAGAGGATAGGAAATTAGCTCATTTGTCTCTGATTTTGAGTTAGGTATATAAAATGAAGCTTGGGGGATTATCATGAAATCTCCTCTCAATGCTGTTTTCATGCTCTGCAGAGCATAGCACCGGTAACTATTAAATTTCTAGAGAATAATGGCCAATTTCCTCTCAACTTTGAACAATGTGATAAAACCTGAGAACCCTAGGAGATAAAATAAGCATTTCAGGGAAACTTATTTGTACATAGCTTCTTCAGCTAAGTGGTGATTACTGGCAATCATTATTCCCTTTGCCTTGGCGGAGGGTGCAGAATAGAATGGGGAAGAGGAGACCATAAGAAGTGTAATGATTCTTAGATACTGCTATGATGCTTGTGACTCTGCATTTTTTACTTACGGTCTTACTTGGTCTGAACAATTTTGAGGACATAAATTTAGCGATTAGAATTGATTTCTGACTTGCAGGATGCTGTAGCTAGTAGATGAGGTAGGTTTAGAACAAAGTGTATGTCTTGTATGAAGATTTTTAAAATTGTAATTCCTTGTTTTAAAGATGGATTTCATTTTATTTGACCCAAATAAGCATTATTCCAAAGATTTTTTTTTTTTAAGAAATTGGACTTACTTATACCAGTATTTTAAACTACTAAGGCTATTTTAGAGTTCAGCCTTGCATATAAGGTCTTTGAGAAGGGAGAGTGGTCAAGAAAATGTCTTGATTCCTGAGTGTGCCTTATATGCTGTGCCATGAGCCCTGAGCTGTGGTGTATCACTGCTGGACTAGCCAGTGAAGTTAAGTCCAAGCAAGAACATTTATGGTGTAATAAGCACTTAGGTGTATTATGCACTTAGTAGCCTTTCAGGATACAAAACATACAATGATAACCTAATGTTAGAGCCCTACAGGGTAATTATGCTTATGTGGGAATGGGAAAAGTAGATGGTACTGTCTCTAGCCATTATTACAGAGTGCTTTACTGTTTATAGATAGCTTTCACCTATATCTCAAACTTCACCATCAATCCTGGAAGTATGCCTCCCTATTTTAAGGACTTAGGATTTTAGACTTCACCCTGTTTTTTTTTCAAGTTGGGGGCTGGCAAACATTTTCTGTAATGGGTGGGGTGGATAGTAAATATTTTAAGTTCCGCAGGCCACAGTCTTTGTCACAGCTACTTAACTCTGCTGTTGTAGCATGAAAGGAGCCATAGATACTTAAATCAGCAGAGCTGTGTGCTGATAAAATTTTACTTGTAAAAACTGGTGGGAAATGGGCCAGTGTTTGCTGATCCTCTGCTTTAAAGCATAAATGAGTAAGAAAGACTAGAGCAGTCATGTTTCAGAAAGTCATTCTGGGATTTTTAGAACAGCAAGTTAAATTTTGTAACTACTAATGGCATGTAGGAAACGAAGTTGGCATAGTGTATCTTAGGAAACACCATGCTCCCTAAATATTGCTTACTGACTTCATTATAAGTATTTTAACAAAAAATATGTGACCTTGAGGTCGCTTTATTTTGTCCATTTTCTCAACCTACTCCCTTCGCCTGAAACCCTGAGGTCAGTTATCAAGAGCCAATACGCCTTCTGTTGTTCGTGGAGCACCAGCCAACTGTACAACAACTGTTATAAAAATGTTTATTGTTTACCAAAACCATTGGACCTCTTATCAAATGCTGCTTGGTAACAAAATCTTATCACAGTTTTAATAAAAAAAAAAGAAAGAAAGAAAGAAGCTAACTATTTGTCTCATTGTCATTAGTTAGACTTTCTGCAAGGTCACTTAATCCGGACTTATTCAGTGCGTTCATCAGATTCTCAGGTGTTGCATGTACTCCCTCTTGATCTTGCCAGGCGACCAGTAGCTGCTTAGCTCTCATCTTCATGTCTTCGCTGTCACACTCAATTTGTCTAATTTCCGAGTCTTTCATTTCCAAATAGGGAGCCAGGATCTTCCATTGCTCACCCAGTTTACTGGCAAACACCTCTATTTGTTCCCCTGTTACAGGTTTGTCTCGGCGAACATCAGGGCCTAGGAAACAGAGGAGATGAAAATTAGGTACAAAGCGTGAGGACATGTACAATTCAAAATATACAACAGAACAGGGAAGATACAGGGCCACTGAAATATTAGTCACCTTTCATAAGCTTTATTTTAAAAGTAAAACAATTCCTTTCTATATTTTTCATGGGGTGAATATTGTTCTTATGATCACTAGGTGTCAATACTTTTAAAACTAAAGCTGTTGCCTCTGTTGTAATTATGAAGGCCTCCCCTGAAAGCAGGTGCTCTCTTCTAACCGCCCCCAGCCATTAACAAACAGGTGAGTCACCTTCAAATCTAAGTACTTTCCTTCCCATCCCTTCCAAATTTTATTGCATAAAGTATATTTTAAAAGTTGTCAAGCAATGTTTAAAATTCCTCACTATAAGAAACAGTGGAGATAAATGGCAGAGGTTGAGAAGTAGATCAAATAACGTACCTCTCAACAAAGAACCCCAATCTTTTCCAATTTTGTAAAATAGCCAAGAAAATTCAATTCTTACTTTCATTTTCCTTCAGTAAAGCATCATTATCTTCCTCATCTTCATCCTCACCTGTTTTTATTTCTTCAGAAGGAGGCTAAAATGAGGAAGAAGAATGTTTAAAAGAATGCCAACTTATAAAATAACTGGGGATAAGTTAGATTTAGATTTAGATATGAGTGGTTGAGATTCCACATTACAGGGCACAGAACTTGATCCTTGAGCGTGTTAAATGTGAATGTCAGGTAAGGATCACAGATGGGATGGTGTTAACCTGGAGAAGGAGTGGACGGGAAAGACTCCCCGCCCCCCAACACATGGGAAGAAGGGAGAGCCAGTAAAGAGTATGGTAAGATGATTTGCAAATATCTAGCATATAGTAACGATGGGCTGGAGAAAACTAGGGGAGCAATTGGGTTCTTAAAAAATTTTTTTAGTAATTTTACAGTATAGTTATTACCATATTGTAGTAATACAATGAGAAAATTGTATTGGAAAAGAGAACAGAGTAGAAAGGTAGGTCAAGGTACCTACTGCTACCCGTTAGAGATCCTGTTTGATAAAAGACAACACATTGGCAAATAGGAAAAATTCATGTCTGAGTTTACAGGTGAGATGACTGTTTAACCAAAATACTGTGGGCTTTAAAATTAAATTACATGCTTTATAAAAAATTTATCAACTTATGTACTTCCTGTAGATGTACACTCAAATGCATTTTTCCTTATTCTTTTTTTTTTTTTTCATTTTTCCTTATTCTTAAACATGGAGGTTTGTGGATTATTTTTTTCCACACGATAAACTGTAAATTCAGCTTACTGATAGTAGATAGTAGTTTTAAATAAGATAATGAAGAATATGAAAATGTTGCTCTACATTACTTACTGGTAATTCCTTTGCTAGCTTTATTACCATGTTTTCGAGATATTCTGGCAAACTTTTAAATTGCTGGTTGGTTGGCTGGAAGAAGTGAGGGCTTCTCCGTGCTAACAGTCTCAGGGCTCTCCAACCATAATTGGAATTGTTCACAGCCCTAGGAAAAGAAATGTCAGTCTTGTAATTTATGGTTTTTTATTTCTATATGCCTTCCAGTTAGTGTATAGAGTGTCACATGGCAAATTACATTAAGTAGCTGAAGGCACCATTTTTTTCGTTCTGATCTTATTCCTAAAGAACCTCTGAGTGTGCAGTACACTTACAAATTAACACTAGAAACAGCAGAATCTGATGGAGGCAGGTTCATATGCAGCAAACACATCTGAAAAGTTTAATACACATTTTACTTAATTTAAAAAGTCAATTAGTATGTGTATAGTAATAACTAGGTGTTCTGTGTGTAGGAATCATCTACGTCTTTAGAAAAAAAAATTAATAGGCTTACTATATTCAGTGAGCTGATACCCATACTGGCAAAGCCACCTGCAGGTGTGAATTTCAGAATATAAGTTCAACACTGAGTTTTGACCATATTCAATCAATACATCATTCTCCATTTATATAAGCATCTCATTTTAGCTTGTTTAATACCAAACTCAATGAATAAAAATGGTTCCAAAGCTAAAAGGGAAACCTCCAATAGCCACCACAGTGAGCAGTGATACAGAGTGATATATAGTAAGATGAGAAACGGAAACCTCACAAATTCTAAAGATAATGTTCCAGACCCAGCCAAGCTGGAGAAGAATCCAGAGCACAAATTTACTCTGTGAATTTTTGCAAGTCATTTGGAAGATTCCCCCTAAGTTCTTAAGGGTAGCAACCTGGTTTATTTAGTCCTCCTCTTACAAATGAGCCTCTACTTTTAGCAAGTGCAGAACTACTCCTACACTGGTCTTGCCAACTTAATGTCATGGTACAAGGCTTTGCCTGATCCGTTAACCAGCCTACCTCTCTGACACATTTCCATTTAAGCAGTTTCAGTCTTTTAATAAGCATTTTCAAAATTCCACCAGTTACACATACAAACTTTCTCACTCTCCAGAAATCCATACCATTCAGGTTCTTAAACCAAGGTTCGTGGAGAACTCTCATTCATTCAACAAATACTTGGTGAGCTGGGCACTCAGACCTTAGGGGTGCCCTGAACACTCGAGACACTACAATCTTGCAGTTAAGAGCAGGGCCCTGAGGCCAGAGTGATTTCCTGGCTCTGGCATTTACTAGATGAGAACTTCAATACATGATTCACCCTCTCTCCTCACTTTAACTGTAAAAGGGAGATAAGGGCAGTTTCTACCTTAGACGTATAGATGGTAAGTACTTAGGGAGGACCAGACAGTGAATGTGGAAATGTGTCGGCAAGCATCATTACTATGGATAAACACAAGGTATAAGAATTTCACACCGTGGTAAGGGATAAGAAGAACATGAGAAATGGGAATTTCAGATAGGGAGGAGCTTCTGGGCCAGGGGAAACTGCCCTGAGACAGTATATGAGAGGAGAGCTGAAGTGAGCCCGCACCACAGGAATAGCTTGGAGAGAAGTGGAAAGACCTTGAATTGAACAGAAACCTGGCTGGTGTAGTTAGAACAGAAAGAAAATGAACAAAGAGGAGACGTGATTGAAAGAGTAGGCAGCAGCCAGACGGGTCTTTTAGGCCCTGGTAAGAAGTTTGGATTTCATCCTAATTTTACCAGGCAGTCACTGGAAGAGTTAAAGCAGGATATCAGACTTGTGAGTTTAAAGATCACAGTTCGCATGCTGGAGAAATGACCAGAGCATCATTAGTTAAGAGATCACAGTAACTAACTCGTAACTAGTCACAAGGTCACACGAGTCAGAGCACTCTCTTTCCTGTGTGCTAACTACATGTCCTGTGTGGCTCAAAGTGAATCCTCTTATTTTATCCTCAGAATAACCTCATGAAATGGGTATTACACTATTTAGCAATGAGAAAACAAGCAGAAAGGAGTTATAGTAGTCCTAGACGCCAAGCCAGTGAGTGACAGTGTCTTGGGATTGGAACCCAGGCAGTCTGATAAGAGGGTCCTTGCCCTTAAATGATGACACCAAAATGCCTATTTAAAACCATGAGGCTGGGACGCCTGGGTTGCTCAGTCGGTTAA